TTTTTAAACAATACCAATAAATGATGCAGATGATTGGTTATCATAAATTGTTAAATTCATTGATTTTTTTAATCAAAAATCAATGAACAAAAATTGTACATTGATTTTTGTACTCAAATTACGTTATTTTATAACCAAATTACGTTATTTCGTGACAGAAACCAAATAAAAATAAAATCAACAATTAAACATAGTACAAACCATTTGAACCTCGCAGAAAGTTTATTATTTTTTTTAATTATTAATAAAACTTTGAAATCAAACCTACAATAAAAGTAAATTTTTTTTTAACTATATAACAAATATTCTAATGCTATTTCCTAGACGTTGCATAATTAATGTTGCAGTTTTTAATATTTTAATTCAAAGTAAAAAGTATTAATTATAAAACAATAGTGATAAAAAATTTTTTAAAAGCAGATAGACGTAAGATTTTGCGGCTCTGACACCAGCAAAAACACCAGCTCTATGGCTCCAGCTTTATGCTCCAGTTCCACAAGTTTGATCAATAACTTTTACAGAACTTCTCATAAGGTATAAACAATAATGAGCAAAAATTTTACAATAATCTTTTTTGTAATCTATATTAGGCCAAATTCTGTTATAAACATCGTTATATTTGAATATATAGTTATGCTTATAACAGAACTCAAAGACCATGGTTATAAATAATGTGAAAATTACTACGAGACAAAGAAACACTATCTCCTAAGTACCTGAACAAAACCTTTAACTACATCAGTTGTACTACTTTTTTAAAATGGGCGTCAAGTGGTTGCAAGAAACCCAACCAAAGTGGAACAACTAAGTTGTTTCAATATATAGAGTGTTAGTTGGGTGTCTAGAACTTAAAAACTTGAAAATAAATAAAAATTCTCAATAATGCTAAAAAAACAAGATTTTTCTTATTGTTTTACCATTATTTTAGGTACAGTTTTCATAACATTTTATAATTATATTATTTTCGATTTTTGTTAATCTTTACTAAACTTCATCGACTTCACTCAAACGTATTTTTTTTTTTTTTTTTTTTTTTTTGTTTCAATTTTAAAGTTTTTATATTTTCAACAATAAAAATTATACAGAATTTTTACGGTATATAAATAAAAATGTTTTCATGAAAACAGCATATCATCAGCCGAGAAACAAGTGGCCGTTTATCCACATTTTGTGTTTTTTCTGATTATTATCAATAAATATTCAACAATCAATGGAGTATGTGTCCAATAAACTTAGTGTCAAGAATGATACAACTTTTCAAATATTTAAAAAATTAGTTCGAAATTCTGGAAGATTATTTGTAAATTTAAATTTAAAACTTGAATTTCTCGGAAACACAAAAACTAGACACACGGCCTCTTGGTTCTCGGCTGACGATCTATTGAGATCTATTAACTCTGTTCAAGTGTTTTCAGAGTAACTTAAAAAGTCATGAATTTCTTTTTTGAAAAAAACGTACCTAACGTAAACGTACCTAATTTAGGCGGTTGCAGTCTATCATTATGTGACTTTAAAAACAAAATAATTCAAGTCAAAAAATAAAGCCGCACACAATTAAGTTGCGCACAGTGTTGATTTTCGTAAACCATTTTGGCATGAAACAATTTTTTAAAATTTGGCATTAGATTTTTATGCTAGAGATAAGTTTTGATCCAAGAATAAGATAATTTGATAAATTTGTTCAACAAAATAGTTTTTTTTTTTTCTCACTTGTTATTTTTTTTTCAAGTTTTATTTATTGATGGGTTTTACTATAATAAGATTTGATGATTGAAAATCGATAGATAATCGATAGATAATCGATAGATTTAGATAAGATTACTATTTTCATTTTTTAAACTAAACTTATAAAGAGAAATTTAAATTTCTCTAAAAATAAAAATAAAGTTGATTTTGTTTCATTTTTTTATGACGTATACCAAAGTTAATTGGTATTATGTATGTTATATAAATTTATAAAATTATATGTATGTTATAGAAAATGTAAAAAAAAAACAATAAATGTTTGTTTTTCAAAGGGTTCGAAACTAAAAATCATTGTTTATTGTACATTTATACTGTGAGTTTTTAAAAGTCAGCAGTTTTTTTTAAATCAAAATACCTAAAAAATGACATGTATCATTTTTTCTAATTCTATTGTTTAATTTTAAAGTTTATAGGTCTTTATTGCCTATATATATATATATATATATATATATATATATATATATATATATATATATATATATATATATATATATATATATATATATATATATATATATATATATATATATATACTATTGTTTAAGTTTGAAGTTTATAGGTCTTTATTGCCTATATATATATATATATATATATATATATATATATATATATATATATATATATATATATATATATATATATATATATATATATATATATATATATATATATATATATATATATATATATATATATATATATATATATATATATATATATATATATATATATATATATATATATATATATATATATATAAATCTTTGAAATTATTACTTATTTAGTATTTATTATTCATAAATGTATAATCTTTCCTCCTACAATTCCACATGATCTACTATCCCACGTAACTACATCCCACGTGACTAAATACTCTGAAAAATTCATTTTTAATAAAAATAAAATGATTATGAAAAATAATAAATTTTTTTTAATTTTATAGAGATACATCTGGCTTTATCACAGAAGAGGTTTTGACATGGTAGGTGTTTTGTTGTTGTAGCCATATTAGATGTTTTGTTGCGGTTGTCATGGTAAAAGTTTCTGGTGTATTAAAAGAACAATATTCTAGTATAGTTTAAAGACATAAATTTTAATTCATTCTTTTTATTGTTGTTATAACCGATAAAATCTTTTTTTCATAAATTGTTTATGATCTTTTGCGAAAATAGAAATTATTAATAACGGACAAACTTTGTTACCTTCATTTTCACTAGACAAAAATATGACACAATTTAAGATGCTGATTGAGCGGTGCCGCACTCAGCATAAAACTTTTGTATTCATTTAACCAAAAGATTTATGTAATAGTTTTATCGTCTCGTCTGTTCTAAATACTAAAAGACGACCTTAAAATAGTTGAAGAAATAAAAATAGAAGAAAAACATCACGTGACTGTTTCAAATTTAAAATTAATTTAGCACGTGACAAAACATTATGTTTTAAAGGCAATCGTTGTCAGAAGAATATATGAAATAAAACAGAGTTGAGTCTTAAGGTATGCGAAATTCCTAATATTTTAAACGTTTATGCAAATTTACATCGGATTATTTTAGACATAAAAAGCTTTTGAGTCAAACAGTTTCACAAAGATTTTATTTAGGGTATCAGAGAAAAGGTAAAAAATAATGAAACTTTTTAATAACAAATACATCATCATTGGTAATATTTGAGGTGATGCAATCATTTATTTGAGGTAGCAGTGTAAAAAAAACTGAGTATGAAAATTTAAAATCATCAGCTTGTCATTAATTAATACCAAATCTGAGTTATATTAAAATGTATTTTAAATCCGCCTTATTAAATTAACTTCGTGACTTTATTTTATTCAAATTGATTTTTTCATACTGCAGTTAAATTTAAACATGTTTTTGATTTAGTGAAAATAACAAGCATTAAAATGCTTTTAAAACACTGCAATTGAAACTTACATACATACATACATACATACATACATACATACATACATACATACATACATACATACATACATACATACATACATACATACATACATACATACATACATACATACATACATACATACATACATACATACATACATACATACATACATACATACATACATACATACATACATACATACATACTGAGTACATACATACATACTCAGTAGAGTTCCGCAATGTTCTGTACTAGGGTTTCTTCTTTTTTTGATGTTTTATCTACACTTGTCACTTCTGTAAATTGTTTGCCGACGACACAAAGCTAATATTTTTAGAGGATATCGATCACCTGAAAAAATGGGTCTAACAGTAGCGCAATTAGGGGGGTTTCCATGGTACCCGGAAACCCCTTTTTAAATTGTTAAAAAAGGAAATATATAATATATAAATATGCACGTTTTGGGTTTCACAAAGTAAAAACCAAGGGTTCATAAAATCGAAAACCCCTTTTCAGAAATCCTAATTGCGCGGCTGAGTCTAAATCTGATGCAAAGGTTTTTCTTTTCAATAAACATACTATTGCACTTGCAGCCAAGCACAATAGTGTGTTCTTTGACTCTATTAAAGAACATACTTTTCAGTTTGTACACAACCTACACCATAATCAACTATCTTGGCATCAACCACAGCGTTATATATATATATATATATATATATATATATATATATATATATATATATATATATATATATATATATATATATATATATATATATATATATATATATATATATATATATATATATATATATATATATATATATATATATATATATATATATATATATATATATATATATATATATATATATATATATATATATATATATATATATATATATATATATATATATATTAGATTGTCTTTTTTAATTTTGTTTTTTATTCGTTTATTCATGTTACGCACATTTTTTGAGGAGATTTTTATTTATGTTCTCAAAACATGAAATTAAAATAAAATTTTCCGGATGTTGCTAGTATATATTACAAATATCACTGAAACAAACGAATTTTAAACAAAAATATTATTTATATGAATATTTTTATAAGAAAATTTATTTTAATCTTTCACAAAATTTATGAAAACTTTGTAAGCTCTGGTGTCACGTAACAAATTTAAGTAATTACGTTCACGAGCCATGATGATTATTTCAAAAACTAAAACCATAGTGTAAGTCTGTATTTACATATAATAATTTTTATATTGTGCGTAATTGAAATTATATTAGTTCAAGATTGTTATCTATGGAATGTAATCCATGATTAAACATAAAGTTTCAAGCTAACCAATACTTGAAACTGACCAACACAAAACAGTAAAAACAAAAAACGCAAGATATCAACTGTCGTAAAAACAAGTTTGACAATATCAAATAGAATTAAGAAGAAATATAAACATAAAAAACAAATAATTGAACATTATTAGCAAAATTAACAACAGCTCCTCAATATCAATGACCAAAATGACATCAGTTTAAAAATAACAAAAAAGTATTAAACAAAAAGCATCTAACAATTTCAATCATCATTGAAAAAAGAAAATTAAAAAACATTCAAAAAAGGTATTAATAAATGTATAATTTTATTTAATAACGATGAAATTTAATTTGGTATAGAAAAGGAAAACGTAAACAGGTTATTAAATTAAAGCTTTTTTTTTATATGTTTATGTTGTATTATAATGAATATAAAAGCATAAAATATTTAAAATGGCAAAATAAAAAATAATGAAATATAAAAATATAACATGACATTAGCTTTGATTTTTAGATCATTTAGTATACTATATAAAATGAGAAAATGTAATTTATACTGCATACTTTTGAATAGGATTTAAAGAGAAAAAAAATAAAAAATATAATAATTATTATCACTCTTATCTTCTATTCTCATTATTACTGTTGTCATTATCGACACCATTGTTTAAACGTAGCTAAAATAAATTTTTTATATTTTTAAAACAGCCAATCTTTTTTAATCTACTACATGTTAATAATTACATCAAGTTAAACACATGAACTTAATGAAATGAAACAGTTATTCATCTACATACTTATAAATATTAATTGATACTACACACTAATACTTTTAATTAACTGAAATTTTAACTGACTTATAAATTGATTTCTAAACGACATAATAACTATCAATCAATTCTGTTCTGTACTTTGTGTATTTTTGCAATGTGTCAAGTACAAAAACCAATGCCAGTCAGCCAGCAACATCAGTCAATAAATGTTCTGATATTTTTGCCAATAAATGATGTTCTGTTATTATTGTTATATTTTCAAGAATACGAAATAATAAATTGTTTTTCAAAAAAAATAATATTATCTGTTTTTGATTAAATTTTAAAATATGTAATTGGATGTAATTGAAAGCATTATAAATTGGTCAAAATTGAAAAAGAACGGTTTATGACGTTTTTATAAGAAGTTGAAATTAATTAAAGGCTCAGTTTTCTCAGTTCATATGGTCAGTCATCTAAAAATAATATCCAAGTTTCTTTTTTTGTTTAACAAAGCATTCGGTTCATGGTTTTGTTGAAACATTTGCATGAAACAAAGTTTGTCAAACGAAATTTGACTTAATACAAATTCTAAAACAATATTAAATTTAAATATTAATTTTTTGTTTAAAATAAAAAATTATAGAATGTGAAATAAGTTCAAACTTAAGAACTTTAAATTAAATTTTTTTTTCCATCAAATTTACTTTAGATAAAAAAGATTTTTTTTCTTTTTAACACAGAATTTAATATAGCTTTTATGTTAAGCCAACCTCACTTTTATTGACAATACTATTGACGTCATTTTCTAATCAGCAGTTTTATATATAAATACATTTTTTAAAGATTTAACGAAATAATAATTAAAACATTTTTTAGTTAAATATGACAGAAGGAGGTAGATTTGAATTTGACGATGGTGGATTCTATGTTGGCGATTGGCGCAATGGAAATGCACACGGTCATGGCATTTGCACTGGACCTTCAGCACAAGGTAAATATGAAGGATTCTGGGAAAATGGCTGTGAAGTTTCAGGTGTTTATAGTTGGCCAGATGGAACAACATATAGTGGAGAATGGAAAAACGGTTTAAGATGCGGCTTCGGACAGGAAAAAGGCAAAGTTTTTACATATTACGGAGAATGGTTAAATGGAGTGAAACATGGAAGCGGAGTTATCCAGATAACCTCCACCGCAAGAGTGTGTTACGAAGGAACATTCAGAAATGGTTTGCAAGACGGATACGGTGTTGAAGTTTATAAAGATGGCGGTAACTAATTAATTGAATTTATTTAAATTTTGTTTATTTTATTCTTAAGTAAAAAACTTTAAGTTTAAAGTTTTTCTACTATTTGTTTTTTTAAAAAGTCAGTTAAGTTTTTTTTAAATAACTACTTAGTCTTATAAAAATAAATTTTGTAATAATAGATATTCTGTAAAATATATATTCTGTTAAAGAATAAAGTATTTATAAACCAATAAATGTGACAAAATGATAATTTTTGTGTTTATGATACCCAAAAAAAAAAAAAAGCTACGTGACGGTCAGCTGCTAAACGGCAACATTAAAAGGGTTATATTGGCGGGAGTTAAGATAAGAGTTTTCAATTGTAAAATACCCTTGCAGAGAAGTGCTTGTAATGAGCAGCTCTCTTTGCAGAGAGGTACTTATTAAAAAAAGAAATTGCAAACAATTAATAAAATAGATAAATTGCAAAAGTATTTTTAAAGTTTATATACAAAAGAAAGGAAAGTTTTAATTTATTTTTATAAAAAAATTTTACAACTTAAAAATCATAAAGATTGAAAAGAAAACTAAAAAAAGTAAAAGAAAAACATTTTAGTAAATTAATTGTATTAAAATAAATATTATAAAATACATAGTTGAAACTTCAATTTGTAAATTTACAAGTAAGGAATCTAAACAAAAATATGTTGCATCTACAATCTGTAATTATGTTTGCATTTATAACTAGATACCAAAGAGTTATTACAAAAAATACCCCAAATACACACATGATTGGTCGCTGCAATACATCAATGGAAGTGAAAGGGTCACACAAACATTTCTAAATTTATATGTAAAGAGTAAATTCAAAATTACTGCTTATTTTCGGAAACATAAAAATTGTTTATCAAATAAATTTTTTAAGTTAACTTAAATTTACAAAAATAATCTTTTTATAAAAGATTATAAGTTTCAATTAATTTTTGATGGAAGTTTTAAGATATTTTTAGCAGCCTATTAAGTAATTAAAACTCTATTTTTTTATACAATTTTTTTAATAATTTTCTTATTAAGGATAATTTTTCAAGATAATTTTTTTTTTTATAAAACCAGCATTGTTTTTTAATTTTTATTCGGTTTTAGTTTTATTTTTATTAAAACAACTTAAATACTTATATTAGGTATAAAGTAATTTTGTAATATATACTATAAACAAATATTATATTATTAAAAAAAGTATATTCACATTGCTTTACTTATAAATCTGAAATTGTTTGTGGTCACATTTTTTAGGATTAATTGTTCTAATTTAATTTTTTTTTCAATTAACTACGATACAAACCGTGTAATTTTTATTGATATATTTTTTTAAAATTTGTTACTTGTAATTTTTATAAAATAATTGTAACTCGTTACATCACGATGCACTCGTTACATCACGGTGCACTCGTTACATCACGGTGCATGCGTCCATCGGCATTGTTTCTTTGTAAAATAATGCGTATTATTTATATTTGTAATTGTAAGCAAATCCATATATTTTGTTTAAAAAAATGGTGGAAAAGTTTTTCTTCTAGACAATGATATTTTGACATAATACCAATAACTCTAAATTTTTCTAACGTTTTAGGATTTTACGCTGGTCAGTGGAAAGATGGTCTACGGCATGGTTATGGTATGCGAGCAGATGCTGATATCAGTAAATTCTTTGACAGCTCTTCTTCATTGCATCATCTTTTTGTTGAAAACCCTTCGTTGTTTACCATTTCTAAGTCTGTTACTACTAGTGAAGGTCACGTGCTTGATGTTTTCGATGAAAATGCGGAAAATGATTTAGCTCACAAACAAGCTGAAGAATTTGCAGAACAGTCAAAAGGACTTCAAAGGTTTTTATTATTGAAGTTAATTGTTTACATTTTTAATACTTTTTTAAAAGATTTTTAAATGAACGGCAGATGTTTTATCTTGTTTCATGATATACGTTTTTTTAGTCATCAACAAGCTTGTCGTTTAAATGGAACTGGTTTAAAACACAGCAATAGTGTTAAAGATTATAAAGTCGAAGTTTACAAAGGATCCTGGGAACAAGATCAAAGAGAAGGTTTTGGTGTTTGTTATTATGATAATGGCTCGCATTATATCGGTCACTGGAAGCAAAACAAACGCCATGGTTATGGACTATATGTTAGTGTTGATGGTAAAAAAAATGGGGGAAAATGGTTTAATGACAGTTTGTTACTTACTCGGCTGAAAAATTTTCGTCTCACTTTTTTGAGAAGAAAAACAACGAATAATATATTTGCCGCCATGGAAGCATCAACGTGTGCAACTTCTAAAGTAAGTCTTGCAATAAAACGGGCAATTGCTGCTAAACAAGTAGCAGATTGTGCCAAAAAAGCTGCAGATGTTGCTGAGGAACATGCCAAAGTGGCTGAAACTGCAGCTACAAAGTTTACATGGCATCCATCATTTAAAGGTAATAGACCAAATTTATAAACATTCTAACTTTAATTTATTTTAGTTTATAAAAAAGCTGTTGACTAATTTAAATAGTCTTAAGAAGTAACAGTAACAAAAATGTTAATTTATGCTAATTTATGTTGCCAACAACATGAGTTTCTTTCAGACTTTACTAACCTTTTATAAATCTGTTGGTTTATTAAATCTAGGACAAAATGTTTTTAGATTTCTAATGCTATCTATTAAATATGGTTTGGTAAAACAAAATATTTGGTATACACTATATTTATTACAATTTATTATAAACTTAACTAAATAAATGTGGTTAAGCATATATTTATTAGATTATTATTATTATTATTATTTATTTACCATAACTTTTATATAAGTATATTTGAATACAATATTATACGAATAAAGTATCTTCAAAATCAAATCTGGGGCGTAGCAATTGGGGAGTTTGCTAGATCATGATAAAATATCAGTGTTCTCCGTTTAGTTAGCGCTTTCACGCTCAAGTCTTTTCGCGCTCGCCCACACGCCTGTATAAACTTTGGAGAGCGCTTAAAAAAGCGCTTGCAAAAAAATAAAAGCGTTTAGTTTCAAACTGCAACAAAACTTTTTTGTTTATTTGTTCAAATTTTATGAAAAATGGCTATTTTTTACCAGTTTAATTATAAATTTTTTAATCTGGTATTTTTTCAAAGCATTCTTTCCGTTATTTTCATTTTAATTCAAATAGCAGATAAAAATGAATTTTTAAAATCGCGCAGGCTAACTTCAAAATTACGATCCTGCCAGTGCAGGAGGGTCGTTTTTAAAGGATACTCATCTTTAATCGTGCGCTGACATTAAACTACAAACGGAGAAGACGGTATAATTATTATAATATAGCAGTTACTTATTAATTTTAGTTAACTAATTTTAATTTAATATATTTATTTTTTATATGTATAATTTAATATATATATATATATATATATATATATATATATATATATATATATATATATATATATATATATATATATATATATATAATATTATTTAATTTGATATATTTACTAATTAACTAAATTATTTAACAATAATCTTTTCTATAGTGTTTATATTACCAAACCAACCTTCACAAAGATCACTTAACGAAAAGAGCAACCATTCACCAAAACTTTTGTCTCATTCTAAAAATGAACATGCATTTCAGAACACATACCAAGACAAAGACCTGTTTCAAAGAAAAGATTTAAATGCTGCTATAGATGGATCTGTTTTTGTTGGTGCAGTTAGCCCTATTTTGTCAAGAAATAGTCTTCTTCAGAGTACTTATGAACCTAAGAGTTACTGTAAGCAAAAATTTCTTATTGACAAAACCCCACAATCTGAATCACGAATTAGACTCAAAAAGTTAACAGCATCTTTGGAGCCAAAACTTCCAAGAAGATCAAGTGAATATTCAGAACTAGTTTATATTCGAGCTTGTTCATCAGGTGAAGAGGTTTGTTATCCTTATGTTGCTGTAAACCTAGAAGTTGATGGTAAAGAAACTCAGGTTTTGCATACTAATTATCCAAAACCGAAATTCAAACCAGGTATTTCAATATCAGAACAACAATCCATTAAATCTTCTACTGGACTTTACCGCACTGTAATAGGACAATTACCTAATATGTTAAGTGTTGAAGCGCATCAGAAATTAATCAGTGAAGGTGAATCTTCGAATTCGGTTCCAATTAAAAAAGAATCTATTTTGTCTAACTCTTCTTCAAACGAAGATGAAGGCGTTGCATCGTTAACTTATTCGGATGATTGTGAGTACAGTTTAGGACCAGATAATGGAAAAAACAATGTTGTAGTTAAAACTTGTGATGATAAATGTGGTAATAATAGTAATAATAATAATATAAATTTGACCAAAGAAAATCATCAAATAAAAAATTCAATTGAAAAACTTACTTCATTAGAAAAAAATATAGATAAACCTTCTAAAAACCTTGAAAAGTGTGACAATGTGAAAATTATTCATCGAAACCAAAAGCAAGTATTAATTAAAAAAAATTATAAAAAAGACAATGAGCCATCATCTGATGGAGACTCTCATTCTGCTTTAACTGCAATGTGGCTGTCAAGACATGTGTGGCCTAATCAGTTACAGAAATGTTCATCTCGTTCCGTATCAACAGACTCTGGCTATAAACAGAATAGTATAGATGAATGTTGTGAAGAAACTACAGAAACAGTTCCTTTTATTGAACACAACAATGGTTTAGATGTAACTGCTTTAACATAGTTATACATTGCTCCAAAGGTTTATTATATGCCTTAATTAGATTTCTTTTGTAATCGAGTCAATTGAAGCCCTATTTTAGTGGTGCAGGCCAAAAGTTTATATGTTTTTTTATATATAAAAAGTTTATAGTCTTTTATTTACCCAGTAATACTCTTCTGTATTCGTATTTTAACGAAATAGCAGTCCTGGGAAGAGTATTTGCTCTTTAAGCCCCCTTACAACTTTATTGGCATACATACCATACTCATTAAATTCTTTTTAATGTTTTAAACTTTAAATACGATGATCCAAACTAAGAACTAATGTTGGGTTGGGACATAAATATCTTTTAGGTCGTATGGTCTACTGATAATCATCAGTGCACATCAAAAATTTATTTTGGTTACATTGCAAATGAAAAATTGCTATAAAAAAATGACTCAAATTTTCTTCAAAAATGTTTTTAGTATGTAAAATTTAATTTTTTGTATTTAAAATTTGATTTTTATTTGAAAATTTTATAACAATTTCAATAATATTAAACCCAGTGAGTAACCATGGGTCGTTTGGGGCGACTTTTATCAAAAGAAAAATCTAATGAATTTTTGACTACTCAAACAAAAGTTCATCTATTTTTTACACAGGAAACTAAGAAAGGCGTCTTTCATAAAGAACGTACAAAGTTATTGGGAGAGAGGGTTTACCCTAAAACGTGCGGGAAAAGGGTGTTAAAAACGTACGCAGTTTGTTTGAGCACGTACGTGGTTTGTTCAAGCACGTACGTATATATATATATATATATATATATATATATATATATATATATATATATATATATATATATATATATATATATATATATATATATATATATATATATATATATACATATATATATATATATATATATATATATATATATATATATATGTATATATATATATATGTATATATATATATATATATATATATATATATACGTAGAATAAAAAAAAAATTTCAAATTTTTTTTTTTTTAATAATTATGAGACAAATGTTCAAAATGTTTAATGTTTATATGAATGAGTACCTAGACTAATATGTCAAAATGTAAAATAGGAAGTAACAATTAAGAATAATGCAATTATGAAAATCAATAATATTGATTTAACAAGATTTATTTCGACTTACAACAATAAGTACTTGTATAGCAATATCTTGTTACAGTTACAAATTAAATAGTAATAAAGTTTCTTGTGGATAAAATCAACATGCTGAGTTCAAATGTTTAGAAAAACAGGTACTTATACAAAGGACAAAAAATTACAACACAGTAACATATTTTAGATGCGTTCATTATAAAAAATATTTCTTAGATCCTCAATACTGGGACCTTTATCAAGTATAAAAAAATTAAGGCATCAACTTGACTCAAGTTGAAAGTATTTTATATGAATTAAAAAGTATTTTAATTATAAATTGTTTTTGTTTGACAATTTTTGAAATCTAAACTAAAAAACAAAATTAAAATTTTTTCAAGTAAAAAAATGTTATAAAAACACCTATCTGTAAATGTCATTTTATAAAAACTTTCACACTTGTAAAAAACATTTTGCAGTGTTAATATTCTTAAATAGTGTTAATTTTTTTGAGTACTTAACTTTTGATTGAAATTTGAATGAAATTTTCAAATCAATAGTTCAACTAAATTATTCGTCATCAAACTAGCTGGTAATCGTTTGTCATAGGCTTACTTCAGCAAATAATACAAACTAACACATTGCGCTTTATTTTTTTATTTGGCATAAGAAAAGAAACTTTACATTAATTCTAAAAAACGTGGGCAAAAAATTTTGGCTCTGTATTTGCTGTTAACAACGTAAACAAACTTTTAAAGCAAGCGCCAATATTTCTTAAATCTTAATTAAATATTTATGAAGCTGTTAGCGTAACAAAAAAAAACTTGAATTCTGGAGTTTTCTAATATATTTATTTATTCTTTTTATAAGACAAAATACAGTTTAAAAAAAAAAGTGTCCAAAACTTATAGTTTAAAAATTAATCTTAAAATCTAATTTAGATTTTTTTTGGAATACCTTCGTCCATCAAATTTTTAAATATGGTTGTTTTCTGATATTCCAGAATTTAAAGGAGAATTTAAAGTTGCCGCAATGTTATTTTCTACATCTGTTCGGACGTTTAATAATTATTAATTTTTTACTATTACACACTTTTTAACTCACAAACACTGGATGATTTTTAGCGGTTGCAAGTTGTTTGTTACGCACAAACACTGGATGATGTTTAGCGATTGTAAGTTGTTGATAAACTAGTTATCTTTTTTAATCGTTGATTTTTGGAAAATCTGGAAAAGTCTGGAAAAGTCGGATTGATCAATAGTGTGATAAACAGATTCAGTAAGTTTTGAATGAGAATGGATGTCATCAAAGAAGGAATGTAAATAATTTTTGCTTTTATACGCTGAAAAAGAGTTTTAAGGCTGATCTTCTAATTTATAAATATAAATATAAATTACATTATATAAATTTATAAATATAAATATAAATTGGATTTTATATAAAATATAAAATGTATTGTTATAATTACAAATTTCTCAGCCGTATGATAGATTCGTTGCAATATTATACTCTTGAAAGCATTTCTTTTTTTACTAAAAGTAAAATGCATGTATTATACATTCTTTTTAATTTTGATATTTTTACTCCGTGTCTGTTAATACTAAATCATGAGGTTCGAGGATATAGAGGTTGGCCCTCCTTAATCAAGGAAACAACAAACCTATTATTTCTCAAATTTTGTTATCAACTTTGGCTATAACTGGTAGCATAAAAGCATTTTCCATAGCTAGATGGTTAGAAACTCAACAGTTATATTATTTTGGCTGTTGACTCGATAGTTATAGACACAACACCACATCTTTTTGTTGTGTTTTTTAAAAAAATGACTTATTCTCGTATGTGAGCAACCTTGCACCTGGTCTTATTTTTAACTGGTCTTGAATTATCATTAAATTTTAAAATAAAAAAAGATTTTATAAGATTACGTGTTTTGAAAAATGTAAATTAATGTGGTAGTGGGAGAGCACTTACTTTGTTCAAAAGTTTCGAGTTGAATTTTTCTGGTAGTACCGTGCTCAACTTGTTTCACTGCAAAGTACCTTTTTTTAAAAAGGCTTCGTAATGTAAAAGGTTGAAAAGATGGTTGTAACAACAAAATAAAATTAACAATTTTACGACATCTATTGCATAGCAGCAACAACCAATTGCAGCAGGTATTAAAACTATGACAGTAGAATTTTATTTTTGATGCATGTGTATACATATCAAAAGTTTTTCAATATACTGAAAACTCTATTAAAAATTTATCATAAAAGTAATTAACTTTATTACCGTTTTTTATGATTTGATCAAAACTTGTGCAAGATAGTTAATATTAAACTTGCAATGAAAAGCAATAAGCAAGATAACTAAGACAATTGACAACATTTATCGAAAGTAAGTTGATCATTAAACCTTTTTCCAACGTTACTGCAACGTTATTAAAGTTTAGAATAACTAAGTAATAGAGTGAGGAAGCCTCGTGAAAAACGGGGAATATAAGAAAGTTTAGGTTTTTTTTTTTAGGAAGAACATCTTTTAAACATGTAAGCCTCAATTATATTTTAAATTTCTACATATTTGTTAGGAAAAGCGATAGGATTTTATTTAGATATCAAACTCTGAACAATCGTGTATATAGAAAAGTAATACACAATTACCGCGTTTTCCTATTTCTTTGTAGAGAAGTCTTGTTACTCTAAAGAAAGTTGTTTCACTAGTAGTAATGACTAATGTTTTTTGATTTTAGATTTTGCATTTTGTAAGCAAAATTTAAAATTTAGAAAATATGAATATAGAGTGAAAAAAATACAAACAAGCAGTTAAATCATAACAAAATAACGTTAACTTTTTTTTTGATCAGGTTATTAAAGTGTTTCAAGAAGACCTAACGATCTTATCACAGAAACAACAACAACAACAAGCTATTTATTTTCCATTTTAAAATCATTTTTACAATAATAAGGTAAATAATAATAACAATGACTCTAAAATAATAAGCAATAGTTATAATTTATAACAATAATAATAATAATAGTAACAGAAAAAAATTATAAATAATAATAATTACTATAATAATAAGTAAAATGATATGTTATTTCTTATTATAATAAGTTAGTGATTAGTATGGATGATGTCATACAGAAGTCTGATCAAAGGAGTGACACCATTCTCAGAACACCGTGGATAAGTTTTTGATTTAAAAGTTTACGCTTTCATCCTTAATTTTTTCCCATATATGGCCGCATCCGGCATTGAACTTTAGACCTCTTGATTCTAAAACATAAGCTGTGATCACTGCGCCACAGTTCCACTTATTATCTTCTTATTATTTTGTTATAAGCCATATTTTATACTTATTTAAAACAGATACTTTTTACTAAACTTTTAACTGAGGATTACTATATGATGTCAAAAGATCGAAGAGATCAAAATCCGGGTTACTGTGGGAAAATCAGGAATGGTGATAACACTAGTAACCTTCAAATATATACCATTACCAACAGGTTTAAAACAACCTAGTATTATATCATAGTTAGAAAAAACCTTAGACTTTTTCTTCAAAAAGAAAAAAGTTAATTTATGGATTATAATTCTAATGTTAATAATGCATTATGCATTATTAATTAATTAGTATATACATTAAAGTTGTATAGTTAATAATGCGTTTAGCATAATACGTGTAACACCACAGTGTAAGAATTACTCTGTGATGAAGAACACCGCAGTGTAAAAATTAGACAAAAACAAAACAGCCAAAACGGGACAAAAAGTAAGTTTACAAGTTACAATATAAGTTTAACTATTAGTTTGAAATGCGAGACAGAGTCAAACGTTTATTGGAAAGCAATACATACTGTTATTTGGTGATTATCAAATGCGGTGTTCCAATCATTAGTAGATTTTAATAGATTTGTTCAGATGGAGTGTTTGTTGAGGAAACCAAATGTTTATGATTAGTCAGATACTCAATAACATTTTTTCATATTTTCCATGATGCGACACCAAATGCATGTCAGTGAGATGGGTTTATAGTTATTTATAGTGAGATGGGTTTATAATTA